CTAACGGCTCTGTTTGTATGACTTTATTATTTTTAAATTAATTTTTTTTTTTTTAAGATTTTAAAATTTTCTACTAAAATTTTGCTTTGAGAAGCCCAATAAGAAAGTTATTACAAACAGCATCCTAAATTAACATTGCATGGGCTGCTTCCATAGTTATTCAATAATGAAAAACATGTAACAATGTGGAAATGGGGCAAATTTTTTTAAATTAATTATAGGGGGGTTTGGGGCTTTAAATTTATTGGAAAACATCTTTTTTGACGGGTAAACCATCAAAAATTAGGGGGGCTTTTTTTATTTTTTTTTTTTCAATTTTTGGGGGTTGAGGGTTTTATTTTTAATTTTTAGTTTTTTCGGGGGAAACAAGGGCAAACAAAGATTTCACGACTTGCAAGAATTTTTTTATTAGAAAGTTATTTGTAATAACAGCTTTAAAATAATTACTTCCGCTGATCAGTTTATAATTTATCTTATTAAAAATGCAACCGACTGCATACAGATAGGACTTCCGAAATATCTTGACACGATATGATAAACCCGACTGGAAAATCCGGTTGGACCGTACCCGATTCAAATACGGGTCGTGTTTCGGGTTGACCAACGGGTTGATGGGCCAACCCGGAAAAACTGTTTTAAAATGATGTCCGCGCCAGAGCTGCCCTGCCCCGCCGGCTGCCGGCAGAGCCTTCCCACCAAGGCACCCACTTGCCCCGCTGCTTGCCCCAGAGCTTCTCGCCAGGAGCCACTGCCCGCGGCTGCCTTGTAGAGCCCTGCACGCCTCTGGCTGCCCATCGCGACTACCCGTGCACCACAGTGCTGAGTTCGTGCCCGCTTTTGGCGCGCTTGCCATCGCCCACCCAACCTCGCACCATCCCAGCCGCGTACCCACGCGCCAGCGCTAACCCGCCGCACGGCCGCCCTCAGCCAGTCGCGCACCCGCTGCGTCCCATGCACCAGCCTCGTTCCGCGCACCCGCTGCCTCAGCCAGCCAGTGTCGGGGTTCAACCCGGCAAACCTACTTAAGGTTGGTCCGGGTTCGAATATTCGACCCGTTTACCTACCCGGATGTCAAGTTAGGGTCAACACGATTGAAACCCGAGTCAGTTTTCAGGTTTGGACCCGAACCCGGACCCGTGACCCGAAATATGACACCACCTACACTACATAACTCAGAGGCTTCGTTGGAATGACTTTTCTTACTGGCTTCTTTAAGGTAGCTTTAGTAAAAACAAAATAAAAAATGTACAAAAAGATGCTTTAGATGTGAATATAAAAAGTACATACCAAACAAAGCCTAGTGTACACTTATTAGCACCTCTTTAATTAAATGAATCAATCTAAATTAAACATAAATAAATTCGTCACAACTAACTGGTGGAAAATCCTCAAAATCTAAATTCACTCACACTATAATGCACAAGACGTATTTGGAAAAGTTGTTAGAGTTTGAAATGAAGCCTTAAGAAGTAAGCGAAATTGTTTCCTTAATTGGTAGTTAAATGTGTAATTGAGCTAGTGGCTCACAAAGTTGGCTTAAATTCGGACCCTCCTCTCTCGCCACGATGTTTGAATTTGAGTCATACTCGAGCTCATATATTATATGAGTTTGAGCCGAGCTCAACTCGTAAAGCTCATTGAAACAACTTAATTAACTTAAAAATATAATTTAAAACTAGCTTAAATTAGTATATATAATAAATTTTACCTTTTTAAAATTATTTATATATAAATGAGCTCGAGCCTACAATTTTTTAATTGAGGAGAGTTCGAGTTTCAATCCAAAATTG